ACTTTACTGAGAACAGACGTAGTGACCGTACTGGAGCAAAGAACAGGAATGGTATAGCTATTTCTATAACATAGGTCATTACTACACTCAGCTGTAGAAACCAGTGTGGTAAATGGTGCCACCACCATGCCAATGGAGTAGGAATACACTGAAAAAAGCAAAACAACAAAAAATTGGTCGCCATGGTGACAGACTTATAATTCATACATTTACTTTAGTTTTCATGTTTTGATTGGGTTATAACTTACACTGAAACTGTCAAGATTATATGAGCCGTGTCACGACAAAACCAACATAGTGCGTTTGCGACCAGCATGGATCCAGACCAGCCTGTGCGTCCGCGCAGTCTGATCAGGATCCATGCTGTTCGCTTACCAACCCTATTACAAGTAGAGAAACTGATAGCGAACAGCATAGATCCTGATCAGACTGCGCGGATGCGCAGGCTGGTCTGGATCCATGCTGGTTGCAAACGCACTATGTTGGTTTTGTTGTGACGTGGCTCATATGACATCACATGTTTCCAGTTTTTAAAAGGTGATAAAGACCTGAGGAGAAGGAAGACATTGGGTTCCCATTCGTACATTATTTCAGGTATAATAAGACATGTAAGAAGAACCACTGACTCCATTAGCTAATGAGATAACCCAGTCACATGACAAAATTCAAAGCCTCTTGTATAATTCAATTCCATAGAGGTGACGGGCATGTGATTTGAAGTTACTAGTGACTTTTGTGCTCAAATGCAGTTACAATGTTTTTTTCACTATGGAAACCTACAATTAATTTGCTTCACATTTTAGTATGTGGAATATTTCAATTTAAATAACAATTTGATAAGATATGAAAACAGCAGCTCACACTAGTTTAAAAGGTACAAGTACTTGTTAACATTTTGCATCATAATGTATACAATTATAATACATGTATACTCTTTTCACAATTAAGGTAACTTGTGATGTCAGTATAGAAATATATTTGTATTGATACTGGAAATGATGGTGTATTCAAAATTTTTATTTGAATATGTATGTTATCATTATATATTTTATACTAATAAACACAGTCCTACTAAAATATGAAGAAAGAATTATTTGACTACTTACTTGAGATTCAAAGTGCCAGTTTAATGCTGAAAAAACAAACAGAAATATCATGCTAAATTGAAACCTTAATGCTTATTTAAATACTTAAATGCTTAATTAAATACAAGTTTGTGAAATATTTTTGTGGAGAGTCATGTTCCTATAATCCGTTAAAGCTACATTTTGAAGAGTGTCATATTATAAAAAGATTCTCCACCTGTTTAAAGGTGAATAGGTACCTTTCTAGTGTTTAAATTGTGTCATTTGTTATATCAAGATGGAACTTTTCATCTTGATATCCCAAATAACAGTAAACTAATAATGGACAGTTCCAAAAAGTTCAGCCGGTTCCTGGTTAACCTGCTGGAACCAAACCTTATGTCCTACAGCATAAACAAGCCCGGCCTGCGCATCCATATAGTTTGATTAGGTTTCTACAATGCTGGCCAACATTTTTGGCTGGCTATATACTGGTGGCTAAGCTAAAACATTATTTTTTCATCAAGACGTATTGAAACAAAAAGATAATCATACCAGTTAGACCCCACCATGTTGGACATTTACTGGTGAGTTTGACGACACCAGACGAAAACATCAGTCGAAACAGCAACCACCGGACCAACCACAGTGTGATACTGTCATGCTGGTGGTAAAATGACAATCTGAATTTCTTAACTGGTATCTGTAGATTAAATGGTGCCACCAGTATAGTCAGAAAACCCGCCTCCAACAGTAAAATATCCCTACAAATACAACAACAAAACAAGTTAAATTTCCAAATTTGTGTAGTTTATACAAATTTATTTTAGTTTGATTGTGTTGGAAGCTATAAGCTTATTGAAACACTCTAGAATATGTTCATAGAACCAACCAGTACTAAGCAATGAGTGTAAAGTTTCTTGCTCAAGGAAACAACGGTTTGCCCCTGACAAGGTTTGAACACATGCGGTCAGCAATCCTTAGATTACTAGTCTGTCGCGTTAACCACTCGGTCACGCTGCCAATTTTTCCAAATTCTCAACCTTACATGAAAACGGCTTATCCTTAGCATCAAATTACTGCTACATTGTCACTGCTGATTCAGAAATCATGCGAGATTAGTAGGCAATCATTGAGAAATTGGTAATTACTGGTCAATTAGGTGGAGCCACTGCCAAGATATGACAAAACAATGTGTAAATTTAGCGTAAAAATCAGAAAAGCAATAAAACAAACATTCAACCAAATGTTTCAAAGACATGCTTTTATTAATTGTTTTCTTAAAATTAATATTAAGTTTGCAAAATTGGTTGACATTTGGTCACTTTATATTTTTCAAATTTAAAATACTAAGCATTATCATAATAACATGAAGTTATACTGTTTAAATTTTATTCTATATGTATATTACGTTTAATTGTTTAAATTAACCTACCACTGGAACCAAAGAAATGTTTGTCCAACCTGAAAGAAAAGTTATACTTATGTGAATAAAAACAATATCTTATTGTTTATTAAGCTGAAAAGAACAGCAAGATGAATATGCAAGTAATTTCAAATGATTTCTATATTGAAACCTAAATAAGATTAAACGTATCAGTAAAAGTAGAGATCAAAGATATCTATATACACCAATAACTGGTACAATGTACTTTATTTTATTTGACAGAAACGTTGGCCAGTAAGACTTTAGTCTAAGTAAGTGCAACTATTTGCTAGCTGCCTGACTCAGCTCACTGACTTGTTGGCTTTCACATACCAGAAGTAAGGGAAGCAGTTTAACATAAAAACTAGTCAATATAATTAAAATGTATATTTTTTCTAGGGCATATGATTTCTGCTACCAGTAACCTCAGTATGAAACCATACATGTTCTGAAACTACCTCACCTGGAGCAAATATCATGAAACAAACAATCATTTACATCACATTACCTGGTAGAGCGAAAAGTAAAGCATCCAAAGCAGTATAAATGAGACAGTATCTCTCATAGTTTTGCACACAACACAAAGGAAGGATACCACCATGCCTGCCATACATAGTAAGTCCATCCCTTGCTGAACACTGAGGCCAAGCTTTGGTGTGAGCTTTAGTAAAGTGGGCTGCGAGTCAAGCAAGTCATCCCAACTGTCTGCTTCTGTAAAATACGAATACATATACAGTATCTGTTTGATATAAGCCATATAGAGAATAATAGGTTAGTGCCGTGGATGGAGAAAGTTTATCTGGCGAGGCGGAGGAATTTAATGGGTGAGCCGAAGGCGAACCCAATAAATTCCGGAGCAGAGCCAGATAAACTTTCTCCATCCACGGCACCAATCTATTATTCTATTTATCCTGTCACCGTTTTTTTTTTAAAGAATTTTATTAGGCAAACTACCTTTAATCACATTATCGGAAATGTTTCTATATAAACAAAGAAGGCCCGAAGCGTGCATTATTCTACAACAATGCACTATCTCCCTGTGTATTTTCACATTGAGGGCGCCATTTTGTTTGAAAAATGTGAAAAATAAAAATAATTTTTTGTCGAATTTTGTTGTGAAAACTATCTAGAATGAAAGGAAATGGTCTAACTAAGAAAATGAATTCGAACACCAATATCTTTTATTCAGTCGTTAACGCTGTACAGACGTTTAAAGTATTGTTTACGTGACGTCACAATGTAGCGCCAAACAGCACGTGCAAAACAATCAAATCAAGTACGCTATTTTAATGTTGCAAACGAGTTAAGTTTTACATTTATTTTCACTTTTAATAATTTTTATTTCGCTTGAAAAATTATAGAGTGAAATAAAATAAACAAACAAAGTCAACGTTTCCAAAATTCGTTATTCTACACGATTTAACGACAGTTTTTATATTTTTTCTTGAAAAGTAGTCCGGCAAACATACATACCACGTGATCAAGTGCCGTAGATCAGTAAAAATATACGGCACCTTGTTATCGGGCCGAAATTGATACAAGTGACAGGATAAATACTAATAATGAACATAGCTACAAAGGTAAAATATGTATAACAAACTTAAAGAGAAATTTAAATAAATACGAGGTATAGTAAAAAAGTTCCTGGACTGAGGCGATAGTTCCACTATTACGGAACAAAATTTGATAAAAAATACAAGGCATGTAAGATAAAGTGTTACTCTTTTAATGCTGTAAACATTGAACTATTGAAACAAATATAATTTCACGAGGCTTATTGTTACACATGCATGGTAGGCTGCATGGGGCACTTTGGAACATCTTTTGTCATTGTTGATAAGAACAATGTCAAGTTCCACAGTAATTTTTTTAAGACATCAACCCAGTGCAGGAACTTTTTTTACTGTACCATAAAATAAAACTAAAATGGTATAAACATTCTGACAAAACTCTAATGGTGTAATATTTGTTCTCACTTTATTGGGAAAAGGCCGTAGTCTCTTGATTTTGAAAGGAATTATTGCTAATTTGGGAAGAAGCTTGTGCAAGTAGGATTTTTGGAGCCAATTTACATTGGGAAGAGGCCTCTGTATAATAAGGTGAAAATCTCTGTAGACTAGATTAAAAAATTCTTACCTTTACCAATTACTGATTTTGCTGGCAAAATTCCATTTTCACCATACAGACCTAAAATGAAAATAAAATGTGTACAAACTGAAATTGTCCATCAGAATAATATTAAGAAAATCTCTTTCCAAAAGCTGTAATTTCTGACATGGGATATATATTAAATGATTTCACTTTCCTTTTTAATACACACATTAAATTATACAAGAGCTGTCGGTAGGACAGCACGCTCGACTATTCTAAGTGCTTGATAGTAAAAGAGCCTTGATAATGTTAAATTTTTTAAGTTCACAAAAGGGCTAATTTTTTTTATAAATTCATGTTATAGGCCTTAGAGAGAGTCTAATTATACAGTATTGGCTTGACTATTCGGAAGTTAATGTCACAAGGGTGTTTTATTGAGTATAATAATACTAATTACCTATGAATACATAAATTTGACAGGAAAGGTACAAAGGCTTGTTATTAAGATGTTTTATCAAGTAAATCACTGCTTTATTATTATGAATGCATAAAATTGTCCCAAAAAAGGCACAAACCCTTCCGTAGTTATGGAGATAACAAGCAAAACTTTACCATGAATTTCTAAGTTGTAAAAGGGGAGAAAAATCAGCCTAAATGCAAGATAGAATTATGGATCTTTGTCAGTGACCTACAATTATGACCCAAAATGCATATAAGAAGTTTTAAATAAATATCTTTAATAGTTATTGAGATATGTAAAACTTGCATGTAAACATTAATGAAGAGACTAAGTAGAAAAGGGGATATGAATCAGCCTTAATGCAAGATAGAGTTATGGAACTTGGTCAGTGACATACATTTATGACCCTCAAATTATGACCCTAAGTACATGTGTAAAGTTTGAAGTAAATATCTTTGAAGACCATTAACCTTTAACCAAAATTTCTAAGTTTCAAAGGGGCAAATAATTCTGCAAATATTGCAGGCAAAGTTATGCAATTTTGCAAACTGATGAACATTGTTACTATAAAAAAGTATTTTAAATTTCAATTGAATATCTCAAGCAATAACTGAGATATTTGACTTTACAAAAAAACTTTAACCAAAATTTCTAAGATCCAAAGGGGCATAATTCTATCAATATTGTAGGCAGAGTTATCCAACTTGTCAATCTGATGTACCTTGTTACTATAAATAAGTATTTTAAGTTTCAATTGAATATCTCAAGCAATAATTGAGATATTTGACTTTATAAAAAACTTTAACCAAAATTTCTAAGTTAAAAAGGGGCAAATAATTCTGTCAATATTGTAGGCAGAGTTATCCAACTTGTCAATCTGATGTACCTTGTCACTATAAATAAGTATTGTAAGTTTCAATTGAATATCTCAAGCAATAATTGAGATATTTGACTATACAAAAAACTTTAACCAAAATTTCTAAGTTAAAAAGGGGCATAATTCTGTCAATATTGTAGGCAGAGTTATCCAGCTTGTCAATGTGATGTACCTTGTTACTATAAATAAGTATTGTAAGTTTCAATTGAATATCTCAAGCAATAATTTAGATATTTGACTTTACAAAAAACTTTAACCAACGCAGACGCCGACGCGGACGCTGATGCCGGGGCGACTACAATAGCTCTCATTTTCTTCGAATAGTCGAGCTAAAAATGAAAACAGAAAATACAGGCCTCAACAAATCCACTGGCCCCGAGCAGTTAATTTTGGGAGAGTAACATTCTCCTGATCCAGATGATGTTTCTCTAAATATTTAATGTAAATGAAGTTTTTTGGTATAAAAATCAAACTGCAGATGCCATTTCAATCAGAATAGTGTCAAATGAAAACCAGAAATTGACTTTATCATGCTTATGACTAGGTATAAAACTTTACCAAACACATATGATGAATCCATTCCAGCAGCATTCGACAATGTTTTATACAATGCGTTCAAAATGTTTTATACTTGTTGAAAATTATATATTAATTAAAAGAATGAAAAGTTTTATAAACATTACTTAACAATATGTAATTGAATAAAGCCAGTTATACCGATATAGACCAGTAAATAGTAAATTTAAGTCTTATGTTTGATTTATACAAATTTTTGCCCATCAAAATGCAGGGCAAGTACATTTTATGAAGGGCAAGTAAATTTGAAGGGTCACTCATAAAATTTTTTATTTGTCTATACAGCAGACTTATTCAGTCTAATATATGCAGATATATAAAATGCAGATTGAGCCTGAACTCTAAAAATAACTAGAACTATCACTAAATGTGATTAATACCCCCACAAGTCTGCTTCGGAAATGAGGATGTTACTAGTAACAGAATACCTTGTAATAGAATTGAAACATAGAGTTATGGTTGTGGGCAATTAAAGATTATTGTGGTTCATGTATGATGCATTTCCTTTCAATGTGGTTGGCCATTGATGAAGTTTAATTGCATTACTCTGTAATAAGTCCAGAAAGACAAAGAAAAAGAACAAAGGGCAATAACTCTATAAATACTGAAGATAGAGTTATAGTTCTTGTGCACTGCACTTCCTCTTATTGTGCTTGACCATTGTATGAAGTTGTTTTGAATTCCAACCAGTATGTTTTAAGTTATGCTCCGGACAAGGAAAAGTATCAAAGGGCAGTAACTCTGTATTTTGTCAAAATGGAGTTATGGCTCTTGTGCACTGCACTTCCTTTTATTGTCCTTGACAACTGTATGAAGTTGTACTGAATTCCAAACAGTAGTTTTCAAGTTATGCTCTGGACAAGGAAAAGTAACAAAGGGCAATAACTCTGTAATTAGTCAAGATGGAGTTATGGTTCTTGTGCACTGCACTTCCTCTCAATGTGCTGGACCATTGTATGAAGTTATAATGAATTGCAACAATTAGTATTCAAGTTATGGTCAGGACAAAAGAAAGCCATGGAAAAGTAATAAAGGGCAATAACTCTGTAATTACTTTAGATAGAGTTATGGTTCTTATGCACTGCACTTCCTCTCAATGTGCTTGACCATTGTATGTAGTTATATTGAATTCCAACCATTAGTCTTCAAGTTATGGTCCGGACAAAAAAAAGAAGGCAATGGAAAAGCAACAAAGGGCAATAACTCTGTAATTACTTTAGATAGAGTTATGGTTCTTGTGCACTGCACTTCCCCTTATTGTGTTTGACAATTGTATGAAGTTGTTTTGAATTCCAACCAGTAGTTTTCAAGTTATGCCACGGACAAGGAAAAGTAACAAAGGGCAATAACTCTGTAATTAGTCAAGATAGAGTTATGTTTCTTACGCACTGCACTTCCTCTCAATGTGCTTGACCATTGTATGTAGTTATATTGAATTCCAACCATTAGTCTTCAAGTTATGCTCCGGACAAGGAAAATGCAACGGACGTCTGGACCGACCGACCAACCGACCGACCACCGGGTGACTCCTATATACCCCCCCAAACTTCGTTTTTGGGGGTATAAAAATAGCCTGAACTCTAAAAAGAAAAATTTGTTCTAGACAAAATATAACATTCTCTGTTTTTTGATAATTCAACAGTAAAGTGTTTGAGCTGGGCCATTAGCTGCCATTGCTTATGCCGGAGTAAAAGTTCTGTCTTCATTTTAAAAGGCGCATAAGATACATGTATTGTAAGCAAATAAACAAAATGACATTTGGCTTTTGTGCAAGCTTTTGTTGTCCTCGACTTTATGCTTAACATTTGATTTTCAACCTAATAAAAACAATTTTTCGAGCTACAGCAATGAACATCATTTCAAATGAGCAAAAATTAACGATTTAAAATAACGACCTTAGTTTTTAAATGTTTATGTCGGCAACTTAGACAATAATCAAATTTAAGGACGTCGCGAAAATGTATTACAATGAAACATACCAGGAATTTGTACATATAAGGAACAAAATGCAGCAAGGTAAATGACTGCCATAAAGAAGAGAAATAAATCTCTTGTACGGCTTATTCTTGTCATAATTGCGTTGTGAACGATTGAAACGCAAACCGAAAATAAATTTTGCCAATTTTGGCTCTGTGTTCTGTGCAATTTACACGCTGGCACAATCACATTGTTCGACAAAAAAATTGAATAGAAAACAAAACTTTTAAAGTTTGATATATTTATAGATTTCAATTTGTTTATTTTGGTAAAATGTAGCAAATCAATATATTTCAATGGAACTTCTTAGGAAAATATATAGGACTATTTATCAGATACATAAAGTATAGCGACACCGTCGCTGAAAGTGCACGAAAATTGGATAAACTTAATTGTTTTGTATTTCTAGCAGTTCTTTCACAAAAACACCTAGAGTCCAGGTGAGAATCCATACCCTTTTTTATCCCGCCATTGATTTACCAGTCGTATTGAAACGAATATTCATGATATTTCTAAAATAGATGTCACTCATATTTGAATATTTTTCGGATAGTTTTGTCCTAAATTTTTTAATTCAATTAATTTAAATTATTTATCAAAATGTAATAGAAAATAGGAAAAAAATCTTTCGTCATGATTCAAATATAAAACCTTATAATAAAACCTGAAAGTCTAACACTTTGTTATTGAGACCAGTAAGGCAAGTGTTACACTATTAGTTTTTATTTGTTTGGGTCGTCAGATAATGGTAGCGAAATTTCATACCCTGATGTGCTCATTTGCAAATACCGAAAGTAGTCCAAACTCCTCAAAGCAGTTACTTCCCTTGTTAAGTACACAAATGCCGAAAAATTAAGGGGAAATCACTGCATAAAGATTGTCAAATGATAGGCTCATTAATTCTCGGGGGAAGAAAAAATAGTTTCTGATTGGTCCAAAGGGACCTGGCACAGTGTTGGGATAGTGTAAATAGTAATTCTAGAAAGAAAAAAATATATTTATATGATATATATTTATATTATATATAATATATATATCATATATAAATTGTTGTTTTTTTTCTAGAATTATTTTTTTACACTATCCCAACACTGTGCGGGGTCCCTTTGGATTGGTCGAAGATTCTAATATTGTGTTATTCTTTACAGATATACATGCTTCTATCAAGCTCCATGATTATTTACATCAGTGTTAAATAACAGGTTTACCGTGAAAATAATAAGGATTACAAACCCTAATTTAGAATAATGTGGTTTTCTTCAAGCTGTTATCTTGAAACTTCACCGTGGTCGAGTGGTTACACGCTCGCTTAGTTAACTTAGTAAGCGAGAGGTCTGGAGTTCAAATCCCATTTAAGGCATTTTTTAAATATTTTTTTAAAAAATTGTTTCAGCCAAATAAACATTGAATTGAATATCAGTGTTGCAATTAGCCTTATAGCCAATTTACTACAGTTATAACACTGGAAACAGCATTGGTGGCACTATACAAAAACAAATTGGTTTATAACCTCACAACCTTCACCTTTCTGACATTCTGAGACCCAAACAAATTCAGCACCTTCTGTGCTTTGATTAAGCATGTATGTATGTATTGTTACCAACAAAAGATCATTGAATGAGGTTTTTTTTTTTGTTTTTTTTATTCGACACATATACACTAAAATTTATACTTTGATATTGTATGTATATGTGCGAATTTTTTCTCTGTTGTAACCTTTTGTTTAAGGTATTACATGTATATTATTCGAGACATATACAATTAAATTTACACTTTGATATTGGTATATGTTCCAAATTTTTTACTGTTGAAAGTGGTTTTACTTAATGATGTCGAAACTCATGTACATCTTCACATATTTACAAAAGTCACACTTTGCTTAAGGTATTATTTTATTTGAGACATATATAACTAAATTTTACTTAAATATTGGATGTAAATGTTCCATTTTTTTACCGTTGAAAGCGGTATTACTTAATGATGTTGAAACTCGTGTACATCTACACATATGTACAAAAGCCATTTTGTTTAAGATACAGTGCATTTTGTGATAACTGCACTCACAACTACATATTGATGATGTGCCTTTATAAACTCAAAAACTACATATACTTGTAGATGATTGTTTTTGTTTCGTTTTTTTTTTTTTTTTTGTTAGGGTACAAATAAAGCAACCATGCAAATATTTTTCTAAACATTAGTTTAATGTTATTTTACATTGAACACTGAAATTATACTTGAGATTTTTTGTGCATATTCTAAATGTAATATATGTTTTAATTACAAAAGTAAGGTTATTTAGTTTAACATGCGCAATTTATAAATAAAAACATGAACTTTTTTGAAAATTTAAAATTTGTGTTCATACATTAAGAAATATTTGCAATGTCTTATAT